TGTTGTTGTGTTTGGTCACTCAGTTGCTGTTTTGTGACCCCCATACACTATAGCTTCCAGTTTTCTCTGTCTATGGGATTTCCTAGGCATGAATACTAGAGTGGGTTGCCATTTCCTTCCCCAGGGGATCTTCCCAACTCAAGGATCAAACCCCTGGCAGGCAGATTATCTCTGAGTCACCAGGAAAGCCCATTATAAGCATAGACCAGCACTATTAAGTCATGCCCATCAGAGACCAGTTGACCAGACTTCTGATATGCAAAAGCAGAATTCAGTTCAGATTCATTTTTGAGCACTGTCCCGTGTAGGTCTGGATAATGGTAGAAATGTTTTCAGCCTCAAGCCCAGAGAGAAGCAACCCATCCAGCATCACATGTAAGTCAGGGACTGAGCCAGAACTGTGCTTCAGGTTGCCTGATTCCCAGTACAACATTCTTTCCATCACTGCAAGCTGCTTTTCCTGGTAAATGACGTCAGCTCCTCTTATCAATTTACCCGGCCATGTTTTGGAGGAAAACACCAGCTGCTTTAAAGTAACACAGTTCACAAGTCTAGACATGTGATAAAATTTTGTAGACATATACACCAAGAAAAAGTGCAGGTTAAAAAATGCCAAAATCCAAATGAAGTTTATTCTTGAGTTAATATACTGATATGCATGATATACATGGTTTTGACAATGTGCAATATTGTTCTCAAGGGAGGCTGGGTGATGGGGTCACTGAAATGCTCTGTACTGTTTTTATAGCTTTTTGTGAGTCTTAAGAACTATTTCAAAATGAAAAGTTATAACAATAAGAAGGTAATATGATAGGAAGATGAGCCAAAATATTTATTCACTTACTGTGTGTATAGTGTTAAAATAGTCTGTGTGAGAGACACATGATGTGTTTGATACTCACTCCACAATGTTGAAAGAGAATACCAGAGTCACTCCTGGACCAAGCTCTCACTGTCTGTGCTAACAGTGCCTTGAACTCATTCCTGTACACCTAGGTTACTGCCACCATCCGCTCCTTCAATAATGCTTGAACCCTCAGTATGACCTCTGATCCTTTGGAGGGGGACAGTTTTTGCATAATAGTTATAAGGATGGGCTCTGGCTTCAGATCCAGCCCCACCACTTATTAGCAGAATGGCCTTGGGCCAGTTACCTAATCTGTATCTTAAGTCCTATTTTCCTAGTTTTTCAGCAATAGTATAGATTGCTTTTAAGAGTAAATGAGAAAACTGTATATTCAGAGCACCTGGAATATGACAAAGACTGTAAACGTTAGGTATGACAAGATTGAGGAGGAGGGGGAAGAAAAGGAGGAGGACAAATGGAGCTCCCTTCCTCCTCACAAAGACCAGTCCATTTTGCTTCCTAAGCATCTCTGAAATCCTCTTCCTGCCATCACTATTCCCCTAGTTCAGACTCGGGTATTGCCACATTCTCCAGACTTATCTGCCCCATTGGTAATTATCAGCTTTCTAAAAGAGAGTTGATCTGACTCAGCATGACACAGAGGATACAGGGATTCCTCATTGCCTATTCGCATGTCATTTTCTGCATGTATGTCTTATCCCCCACGTTAGAGTCTAATTCCCATAGGCAGGACATGTGTCAGATTCAGCCTGGCATTTCCCAGATGACCCACCTGGTGCAGTCACTCAACAACATCAATGATAAAATGCGTGTTTTACATGTTTCGATCTTGCCATAAATGATTCTTATTGTTTTTCAGATTCTCTTCCAAAGGTCACTTCCTTAGCCATGCCCTGCCTGGACTCCAGGTTCAAATTTTCTCTCTTTATATCGTCAGATACTCATCATAGCCCTGTGCAGGAGAAGGGACAATTGTCAGATAGGTAATTTGCTGGTGGTCACAGTGTTAAAAATAAAAATCTTAAAAGCATGACCTCCACCCAGTTCATGTTATGGGGTTGTCCTTCCTGCTTTGTGACCTGCATGTAAGACATTTAACACCTCCATGGCAACCCAGTCTTTCCTGGGTGGCCACTAGAACCCTAGAAGTGTGCTCTGGTAGCCCCTTAACACTCCTCAAAGGAGGTTCACACACACACACACACACACACACACACACACACACACACCCCTTCTTCTGACTTCTCTTTTAAGGAGTGAACCCTGGGCACCCAGAGTCCAGAGATGGGTTCTGAGAAGGCAGGATGTTGTCTTCAGTTCTTGCCATCACTTGTGCCACCACACGCTTCTCTGAAGGCAACCTCCAGACCAGGAAAAACTGCTACAGCCCTCCCTTTCCACGTCTAGGTTTATTAGGAGTATCTGCGCCGTATAGGAGATCTGGTGCGGGATCCATTGCGCTGTGCAGAACATTTTAATATAGTGTCTGATTTACAAGATAGAATGCTTTTTTGTCTGTGTCTAGGCTGTCTGAAGCAATCTACAGCTGTATAATTTCTCTGTGATTGTTCCACTCTAACTGGGCTAGGGGCTGAGGATTCATACAGTGTCAGCCCCCATCTTCAAAAGCTCTCGTTCATTCCTGAAATAGCCCATACACCCCATTGACAAGAGAAGAACTCACTAGACTGCCTCTTCTCCCCACTCTAAGACCCACTCCTAGCTACAGCCAAGGTTATCATCTGAACAAAATCTGAGGGTGGCCCTCACCTTCTTCAGACACCCAGTGGTTGTTGATACAATTGAATAAAATTCTGATTCTTCACCCTGGCAAACAAGACCCTTAAACTCAGCTGAATTCTCCAGCGTCCTTTCATCCCTCCTAGCAAACCTACACTTCAACCATGTCTGTCTATGAGCATGTTTCCTGATTCCTCAGTGTTTTTTCCTACTTCTGTGTCTTGGTACCCATTCTTTAATTTATCTGGAGTACCCCAAGAGAATGAGCTCCATCTGGGAGAAGTTGAGTCCAGGGGTACCAAGAATGGATCATGGTTGGGGGAAGGGAGGAAAGTTAGATATTGCTAGGGCAGGGAGTGAGTGCTGCTAGCTTCTCTGTCCATCTCCCCATCAGTGACCATCGGAGGCATCTCCTTAATTCAGTTAGCATCTTTCTTTAGTAAAGTGGGATCTACTTGACCACACTTTTTTCTGATGGTGTGTTTTTGTTTGTTTGTTTGTTTTTCGCTTGTTTGAAAGCAAAGGAGAACCCCGAGCAGGGGTGCAGGGTAGAAATCATGCACGGAAAGCATTTTCCTTATTTTTCTGCTACAATGTGCATGGGGTGAGGGCAGGAACTATTTGAGGGAGGAGAAATACATAGGAAACATGGCATTTTGAAAGGTTAATGGGATGTGTAGGCACATACTGAGATGATGTTCTGTTATTGTCAGAAATAATGTTTTACAGAGAAGCTATTTGTGAAGAGAGACCAGTTATCATTGATGGACTAATGGGCATGCAGGAATATGGAAGTAATAATGCCGATGTACAGTGCCTGCAGAGAGATGTCAGTCAAAACACGAAGTTGGCATTGGGCTGGGGGAGAATGAACACCTTTTGATTTGACTCTGTCTGTAAGATTGGACCTGTAGGACCCACATGAACACACCCAGGATTGTTTAACAAAATCCAAGGTGGACTTTGAATGGCTTGCTGACCACTTTGCCCCTGAGGTGGGGGTTTGATGACTGCCCTTAGAATTCCAGAACCGTCACAAGCCTGTGATTCAGCGAATGTCTCTCAAGTTGCAGAGTATCCTTTTAATTCAGGTATCATTTCCAATGCCCTTAACCCAGTGAAATAAATACTGTCATCCCAATATTTCATTGTCCAAACTGCAACCAGCTCACTTCTGTCTGCCCGCAGAACTGTGACAGAAACTTCTCTGTGCAGACCACACATCCTAACTTTAAATTCAGGATACATGAATGTGAGTCCTATGGAATCAGCAGTGGAAAAGGATTCTGTGAAAATCATTCCATTCTATCCTAAGGTTTAATTGCCTGAAGAGATACATGAATAGGGAGCAGAAAGATAAAGCAAAAAGATCTTGGGATGAATAATGGAAAGTTTCTTCAAGGGAGGAAATGCAAGAAGGTCAGATTTCCTTTAAACCCTGATGGGAGACTGCCTCTACAAGAGAGTATCCTGTTATTCAGATGCATATCATCGAGTTTACTGATGTTTCTGTCACTTGCTTTCCTGTACCCTTCCTTCTGCCCTGGGAAAAATGCTTTGGAAGAGCTAAGCAGAAGTCCTACTGCTCCATGTTTCAGAGACCGGCGGGGATCCAGATCTTAACCAATTTGATTTAATTTCTTAAGAACCAGGGCCTGAGAGCACTACTTTTGGGGTTCTTGGCTAAGTGTTTGTATGTCTGCCATTTAGAACAGAAGATGTGGGGACAGACCCCAGTTTTAGGTGCGGTGCTTATCGTGGTCCCAAAATCTTCCAGTGGGGGATGGGTTTTCAGGACAACTTCAGTGTCTAACCTGTGTAAATAAATGTCCAACCCCACATCCTCCTTATTCCTTCTCCCTGTGTTATTTTTCTCTTGATCATTTATTACCACTGGGTGTGCTTGTTTTACTTATTGTTTACTACAGGGGCTCAGACTGTAAAGAATTTGCCTGCAATGCAGGAGACCCGAGTTTGATCCCTGAGTTGGGAAGATCCCCTAGAGAAGGAAATAACAACCCACTCCAGTATTCTTGCCTGGAGAGTCCCATGGACAGAGGAGCCTAGTGGGATATAGTCCATGGGGCGCAAGGAGTTGGACTGACTGAGCGACTAATACTTTCATTTTACTATCTGTGACCCCCACCTCGCCACTACAATGTACATTTTACACATACCTAGAAAAGAAGTTCTTTGCCCAGAGTAGGCGCTCAGTAAAATTCTGTTGAGTGAAAGGCAGGAGGAACTCACTCATCTGCAGGAGCTGGATGGGGGCAGGAACACAGTCAGTTCAAGACCCACCAACAGATCCTCAGTGGCCCCCTGTCCCCTTCGTCCCGGGGACGCTCCTGACGTACGCTACAAGAGTGTCTTGTTTTCCACCTCTTTGCAGAGCATTGGCTGTGATGACTACCTAGGCTCCGACAAAGTCGTGGACAAGTGCGGGGTGTGCGGAGGCGACAACACAGGCTGCCAGGTCGTGTCGGGTGTCTTTAAGCATGCCCTCACCAGCCTGGGCTACCACCGCGTTGTGGAGATTCCCCAAGGAGCCACAAAGATCAACATCACCGAGATGTACAAGAGCAACAACTATTTGGGTAAGCTTGGCTTTTTTCCGGAGGAAACCATCTGTCGTTCTCAGATGCTTTATTCCTTCCAGGATGGTGGCGCGACAGTGTCCGGAGGTCCGTGGACACATAGAAGGTGTCACTGGAGAATGCCAAAGCGCCGCCTTGTGTCCCCTTGAATGAGATGGAGAAAGTAAGAAGGTCTTTCTTGGAAGGAAATGTTTAATATCTACATGTTTAAACCAGCCTTTGTTTCTTCCAAGAGAAATAATGTTGTGAAGTTGAGAACGGTCTACTTTCTTTCTCTGAAATGAGGGAAGATCTTTGAAAAGCCCAGAGATCCACCGGTCTTTTTCTGTTGGAATTTCAGGGGGATGGGGCAGCCGATCATCTGTCCAGACTCTCGCTCTGCAGGGATCTAAGGCAAAAGCCATTTTTCTCTTCTTTCTGCTTCATCAGCCTGGGGCAACAGTCTGTGTGCATCTTCAGGACAGTTGCAGAGCCCCTCAGTGATCATTTGGGGCAATATCATCAATACTAGGAGACCATTTTTAACCCATTTCCCACAAATGGAGAAATTTGTTGAGTCTTCCTTCTGGGTTTCTGTCTGGTTTTATGCCAAGCAAATCAGGTCCTGCAAGTTAATTTTTAGTAATTCTAATTCATGTAAACATGGACTAATCAGTTAACAAAATAGTATAAGGAAAGCAATTTTTAAAAATCATTTAATGAATAGCAATATACATTTTTATTTTTTAATTAGTTATCTAACAGGAATTTAAATAGCACAGACTATGTGCCAGACATTATTGTTGGTGCTTTATGGGTATTAATTCATTGAACCTTCTCAAAGCCCCGGGGGATAGGAGCTATTCCCCTCCCCATTTCATACACAGGGCATTTATGTAGTTTGACAAAGTCGCAGCAAGGAAGAGGTGGAGTTGGGATTCGAATCCTGACAGTCTGTCTCCCAGCATCTACCAAGTAATAATACCTATGAGCGGTTCTGGTTCACCAGGCAGTAGTCAATGGCTGCAGCAACTGAGAGAGCATGAATTTTACAAAGTTCGAATACCACGATCACCCCAGAGGATAACTCCAAACCTGAGAGTTCCAGATACTGCAGCTTGTCCTTCTCCACAGGGGCAAATGCATCTAAAATTAGCTTCCTTTGGTTTTATTGGTGGGAGGAGGAAGGGATGGCAAATGGGACTCGGAAATAAATCCAATTAAAGTGGAAAAACTGTTACATTTGCTCTGGCAAACCCAGAAGCCACCAAAGTAGCAATAAGCCTAGGTTCCCCCATGAGTATTTTGTTGCATTATTTTTATTTGCAAAAAAAATAGTCTTTTTGTCTCCTTTCTTTCGTACTATTAAAAGAACAAATCTTCATAAATATTCTGTTCCTAGAATGGAAAACGTTCTTCAAGGGATTATTTTAAGTGTGATTGTGTTCAAATGCACCAACAAACAATGCCACTTTTTGTGAGCTTGGCGTAGTTTTTAGTACTTTCCCTGAATCGAATTAGTTCTAACCAGTAAGTGGTTTTTAAGCTGTGCCTTCTGAAGTTAATAGATAACCTGGGAGAATATCCACCAGCTGTCTGAATGGAAGCTACTCTCAGAGTCCCAGTGTTTTCATCTAGAATCTTGCTCTCATAAGTATTCATGAGAATCCATAGGATAACAAATATTCAAGACCCCACAGAGCCCCTGGCACTTGTTAGCAGTTGACAAATGTTCAATCTCTTTCTTTTGTCTCAGAGAGCTTGTCAGTATCTCCAAGCTTCCTGGAAACAAATTCCGTGAAAGTGAAAGTCGCTCAGTCGTGTCCGACTCTCTGTGACCCCGTGGACCTTACAGTCCATGGGATTCTCCAGGCCAGAATACTGGAGTGGGTAGCCATTCACTTCTCCAGGGGATCTTCCCAACCCAGAAATTGAATCCAGGTCTTCCGCATTGCAGGCGGATTCTTCACCAACTGAGCCACAGTAATTCCCTAAAAAAGATGAAGAGGAGGCAGAGGAGGATGTGAGTACCCAGAATCAGTGGAAGGGTGATTCAGAAAATCAAGTACAACTTCCTACGGCCAGTGACCAGTGGGGTGTGTGAGAAATCCAGCCCATGGCAGTGTTATTTGATGCCACATGGGCAGAGGAGCGGTGAGACAGAAGAGCAGATGGGAGTGAAAGAAGTTTCCAGAGGTGATGAACAGGGGCTTGTGTTTATGGCACTTAAGCATCACTCAGGACGTAGCTGCATCGCTCAAGAGGCTCTTTCGTCTTCTTCTTTCCTTTTCATTGAGATTTAATTTGCCTTCTGTAAAATTAATTCTTTTAAAATGCGCAGTGGATGGGATGGTCTTTTTCTCATCACAGGTGTGCTTTTAATCTATTCCACTTATTCTACTGAATTTCCTGTTCTGTGAAGTCTATATATTTTAAAAGTTAAATTGCATGCAATTGTTTGAGATTATGTGTAAGCTATTAGAGCACAGGTCTGTCTAGCTATTTTTGAATTTTTCAAAGATTATATTTCACAATTGACATTTTCAAACATTGAAACATCTTTCAAAGAGTTATATGGTAAGGTTCTTCACAATTTTCCGAGTAATGATGTTTTTGTTTTGTTTTTTGTTTTGTTTTGTTTTGTGACTTCTACCTGTGTAAACTATATTTTGTACAAAAATTTGACTTGATGCACCAAATTGAGTAGGCTGTCTGCATACATTTGTTCTGCAGAGGAGGCAGCTTAGAGGAAAGGAATAGATAAGATGCTTTTAAAAATTGCACAACTTTAAACAAGCTTTTTTTCGTTGCTCTATTGTTTTCCTGAATGGCCTGTAGTTATTTGTAATAAAAATCAGACATGCCTTGTGAAATGACTGACTCTCCAAACTTGATAAAGATAGAAACTAGATTTCCATGAAAACAGAAGGACCTGCATTATTACTGCTGAAGAAGATGGTTTAATCACGTCATTTTTAAAGGGTTTTTGAAAACCCACAATATTTAAATGACTTATTCTAAGCTGTTTGCTTAGTTAATAATAGTTATTGTACTACATGTATAGTACTTTAGTCGTCAAGTGTTTTTACCTGTATGGTCTTCTGACTTTTAAAACTGGACATTCTTTGCTTGCTTCACAAAAGATGAAGTTACAGTTATTGAATTATTACTGAATTGCAATGTGAAAGGTGAAATTTAAAGCTCAAAAACTTTGGAGAAATGTCTATTCAGGTCTTCTGCCTATTTTTCAATTGGGTCTTTTGGTTTTCTTAATATTGAGTTGTATGAGCTAGTAATATACTTTGAATATTAATCCCTTATTGGTCATATCATTTGTAAATATTTTTAATCAGTTGTCTTTTTGTTTCCTTGATGGTTTTCTTTGCTGTGCAAAAGCTTTTATATTTAATTAGGTCCCATTTGTTTATTATTGTTTTTGTTTCTTTTGCCTTAGGAGACAGATTCAAAAAAATATTACTAGCATTTGTGTCAAAGAGTGTTCTGCCTGTTTTCTTTTAGGAGTTTTATGATTCCCGGTCTTAAAGGTCTTTAATCCATTTTGAGTTTACTTTTGCATATGGTGTGAGAAAATATTCTAGTTTCATTCTTTTACGTAGTTGTCTTTTTGAAGAGACTGTGTTTTCCACCATTGTATATTCTTTTCTCCTTTGTCTTAGATTTTGTTGTTGTTGTTGTTGTTGTTGTTCAGCCGCTAAGTAGTGTCCAACTCTTTGTGACCCTGTGGACTGCAGCAAGCCAGGCTTCCCTGTCCTTCAGTATCTCCTAGAGTTTGTTCAAACTCATGTCTGTTGAATCAGTGATGCCATCCAACCATCTCATCCTTTGTCTTGCCTTCTCTTCCTGTCTTCAATTTTTCCCAGCATCAGAGTCTTTTCCAATGAGTCAGCTCTTCACATCAGGTGGCCAAAGAATTAGAGCTTCAGCTTCAGCATCAGTCCTCCCAGTGATTATTGAGGGTTGGTTGCCTTTAGGATTGACTGGTTTGATCTCCTTGCAGTCCAAGGGACTCTCAACATCTTCTCCAGCACCACAATTGGAAAGCATCAATTCTTCGGTGCCCAGCCTTCTTTATGGTCCAACTCACATCTGTACATGACTACTGGAAAAACCATAACTTTGACTATATAGACCTTTGTTGGCAAAGTGATGTCTCTGGTTTTTAATACGCTGTCAAGTTTTGTCATAGCTTTTCTTCCAAGGACAAGCATCTTTTAATTTCATGGCTGCAGTTACCATCCACAGTGATTTTGGAGCCCAAGGAAACAAAATCTGTCACTCTTTCCTGTATTCTCCCCCGTGTATTTGCCATGACGTGATGGGACCGGACCCCATGAACTTTGTTTCTTAAATGTCAAGTTTTAAGCCAGCTTTTTCACTCTCCTCTTTCACTTTCATCAAGAGATGGCCTCTTTAGTTTCTCTTCACTTTTTGCCATTAGTGTGGTGTCATCTTCATATCTGAGCTTATTGATATTTCTCCTGGCAGTCTTGATTCCAGTTTGAGCTTCATCCAGCTTGACATTTCACATGATGTACTCTGCATATAAGTTAAATAAGCAGGGTGACAATATACAGCCTTGGCATACTCCTTTCCCAATTTTTGAACCAATCGATTGTTCCATGTCCAGTTCTAACTGTTGCTTCTTGACCTGCATACAGGTTTCTCAGGAGGCAAGTAAGGTGATCTGGTATTCCCATCTCTTTAAGAATTTTCCACAGTTTGTTTGATCCACACAGTCAAAGGCTTTAGTCAGTGAAGCAGAAGTAGATGTTTTTCTGGAATTCCCTTGCTTTTTCTATGATCCAGTGAAGCTGGCAATTTTATCTCTGGTTCCTATATTTAGAAAAATACAGCTTGTGCATCTGGAATTTCTTGACTCATGTACTGTTGAAGTCTAGCTCAAAGGATTTTGAACATTACCTTGTAGCTTGTGAAATGAGTGCAATTGTGCAGTCATTTGAACACTCTTTGGCATTGCCTTTCTTTGGGATTGCAACGAA